TTTCCAAAAAAATAAAAAACCCCCCCGAAGGGGGGGGAACCTTTTGGCCCGGGGCAAAGGGGGGGGGGGGGGGGGGGGGGGAGGCATACCACACAGGCTCCTCGCCAACACGACAACGTCATGACTACAGTGAGGTGGCCAATGCGAGATCGTACAGCGCACCTATCCCTTCGATCACGCCATTATGATAGGCGACGCAAGATACCACACCCCCTGGAGACGATCTTCAAACCTCGACTACTCCACGACGAAGAGGATGCACAAATCATGTGACACGTTTTCGGCTAGCTCTCGAAGAGACGGTTCCAACACTTCCATTCTTCGGCAACCGGCGCTGTTGTTGATTTAGAGTAATCGAGCTTTAATAATCGGTCCGGGGGGAGTGGTACCTTCCGTTACCTACGGTACCTTCAACGGGGAGGTCCTCCCACGATTCAATCAGTAACGGCATGACAAAGCCAACACTAGACACTACATATATATATATACCTTCTTCCACATGATCGATCGCCCCATGGGCGTGTCCTCGATGATCTTGTTCATCAGTGCTTTCGGCTTCCGCTTGGACTTCAAGCTGCCGTCGGCGAGCGACGCGGCAGCCTCCACGGCCACCGCCTCCAGCGAAGCCGCGTCGACCAGCTGGTCTACGAGTCCCATCTTCAGCGCCTTGTGCGGCCGAATGTTTTTGCCTAAGAACAAGAAGAGGTAAGAGATTTGGGCGGGGTTCCAGGGGTGAAGCGGTGAAAGGGGACAAGCTTAGATTCGGGGGTAGATGCCACGTTTGCGTCAAGGAGCACACATCAGACATGAGCTGTTGCAGTCCGTGTACTGGTTGCGACGGCACGAAAGGCTTCAAGTCGCGGGGTGGGTAGTTGCGTCGTAGCATGGTGGGTTGGGAGGTAACCGAGGCGTGCGCCTGGCATCGGAAGGGCGATATCACACAGAACGGCGTGGAAATATTTTACTCCTGTATGCACACACACATTTGGCTTTCGAAACATTCCCGATGGGCCATTCAAAGCGTTTATGGGCAGGCCACCACGTTTCTGTTCGCCTTGCTGCCTACAAGACATTGTGAGCCACTGCTGAAAGTGCAGCAGCGTTCGGTAGCTCACCAGTAAGAATCATGTCGAGGGCAGCCTGAAGCCCAACCAGCGGGTGAAGAAGCTGCGTCCCTCCCCACCCCGGCAGGAGGCCTAGCTTCACCTGACAGTGTCCGTTCACGCGACAGAGGATTCCAACGGAAAACACGGAAAAATGACGATCAGAGCAGCGCGCGATAGGGGTATCAGCAACAAAAAAAAAAAGAAGACGCCAATGTCTCAATTCGATCCCGCAGAACCAAGAGGGGGGCACGCGGCGGAGATGTGCGAGAAGCACCTCACCACAAATCAGCTGTGACGAGAATATTGGATGGTTTCCCTCGAGAGATAGACACAATGCAGGCTATCTCACATGGTCCTCTACAGCTGCCGATTCCGAGCACTCTACACCTCCCTCCATTCACCCCGACCTCCTCATATCGCCACAAACACTTGAAAGCAGTGATATAAGAAACCCGGGCTCGACCATGCAACCCACCGACTATACCCGAAAATCAGCATTTGATGCAACATACCGGTTATAACCGCGACAAACCGAGGATGAAAACGCCCCATCCCCGGGGTGTTAAACAGCGTATTTACGTATTTTTTTGTTCGTTTGAAGCCGCGCTCGAGGCATGCTATACTGTGCTGTAATGCCGTAGGTTTGCCTTTGCGGGTCACTGCTGCTGCTATGTCTGTTCATCTCCTATGCTTTCTACCACGTTGCGATGTTACAATGCAAGAGGGTCGTACAGGTATCCTCTACATCTCTGCAGTAGATGACCAACAATTTGCAACCGGTTATAACCGGGACCAGGTTTTTTACCTCACTGCTTGGAAGACAGCAGCATACACACGCTACTAAGAATACCGCATGAATATGTCGGCAGCAACGCAACAATCTTGCGCATCGAGCCGCACCTCTGGCAGGCCCAGGACAGTCTTGGGGCTCGTGGTCGCCAGGCGGTAGTCGCAGTGGAGGGCCCACTCCAATCCCCCGCCGAGGCACGCCCCATTGATCGCTGCGATCACGGGGATGCCCTTCTTTGCCAGGATGTCGAAGGTCGCGTGCCCATCCATACAGATCTGTTCCCCCGCCCGGGCGCGGCAGGAAGGAAGTTGGGTGAGACGCGGTCGGTTGTTGGAGGCGGCAAACGCCATCGGGGGTGTGGGAGGGTGGAGCTACAAACTGCTGTCACAGACGTACCATTCAACCACCAGCAGTGTTCGGGTCTCTGGCGTGTTACAAAGCCCTAAGACTTGGTTGGTACCTCTCCTCGTTGGCACACCGAGCCCCCAACTAACTGCCGCCGCACCTGCTTGAGGTCCGCCTTGTCCTCGGTGGCGCTGATCATCCGGATGTCGGCGCCAGCGATGTAGTTGTCGGGCTTGCCCGAGATGAAAACCACGGCCTTGACGGACGGGTCTTCGGCGATCTGTCCGGACCAGATGTCCTCAATCTCTTGCCGGAAGTCGCCGGAGATGGTGTTCATCTTTTCGGGCCCGTCGATCCTGACGTCGCGCGTGGCATCAAAAGCGGGGGATGTGGAGCACGACGAGATAATGTGATTTGTCCACATTGTTTGTCGTTCGTAGGACAGTATTTTTTGGCGCCATTGATACGCATGGATCGTGGACACTCTGATTCGGCGTGGTTACAAGTTTTGCTGACAGGTACAGTAGTAGTCATACGGCCGAATATGCTGAGGTCGTGAATCCGCAAAATGCACTTACATGAGAAGCGAAGACATCCGTCGGACACACAGCAGGGCGTAGATACACAACCGTCGCGTGCCGGGAACAAACTGGCCACAACGGGAAGCGTCGCGAAAAACTCGTTTGTCCGGGGTGAAAACCTCGATTAAAGCCGCGCAATCTCAACGATACCCAAGTGATCAGCGGAGCAAGTACCACCACACCAGCAACTCCGGCGTAGTCAAGCGCGGTCAGTCCATCGCCGCCGCCGCACGGGAGCCTCGCGTCGCGATCGCCCGCCCGACGATCTGGGCCTCATGGAACCCGAGCCAAAGACCAGATACGGGAGGTGGGTGCCGCTATCGGAGCGGCGGCTATGGATGCCATGTCGAGGGTGAGAGGGGATAAGTCAGTTTTTTCATGGTCCCGGCAATCCACGCGGAAAACGCCACCGAAACGTGAGGGTGCATCCGTCGCCCGTTCGTTTGAGGTCTCGGTTGAACGAGTCTCCAGGCGTGGAGACGGCCTTCTGAGTTGTGGAAAGGCTGCGGGGTTGCAGAAAAGGTTGCACGGAATCGCCCACCCGCATGGGCTGGCATTCCTCAAGGCGGGTCGGGAATTCCGTGCGCATTTCCTTCAACCCCGCAGCCTTTCCACAACTCAGAAGGCCGTCTCCACGCCTGGGGACTCGTTCAACCGAGACCTCAAACGAACGGGCGACGGATGCACCCTCAGCTCGCGGGGCGTGGTTCGCCCGGGTCATGAGATTTATTGACCTTGTTAGCCCCTCCCACCCTCGGCATGGTCTCGATAGCCGCCGTTCCGATAGCGGCACCCACCTTCCGTAGCTAGTTTATGGCTGGGGTTCCTCGAACGTCCAGGTCGCCGAGTAGAGCGGCGGGCGGTCGCGACGCGAGGTTCCCGTGCGTCGGCGGCGAACGGCTGACCGCACCGACAAAATACGCCTTTTAGAAAATACTTCCAAACAGAAAGGCTATGCCCGTTCGAGATACATACAACCAAACAAAGTCAAGGGCATGTGTTGACGCTTTACTGCTGTGAGTGGGAGAACAACCGGTTGGCTTGTTTCGAGCCTATGCACTGAAAATGCCAGTGACCCAGCTGGTGTTAAGCACAAAAACATCTGTAAAGGTTGACACATTTACAGTTGCTGCATCGCCTTGTAGTCCATGTATGTACAGTAGTTCTCTGGCTTCGACGTGGGTAGACTTGTATTTCTCCGTTTTGTGTACTTTTCCAAAAATATCGGGGAGATGCTCTCTGGTACGTATGTCGTGTGTTACAAATGCAACCCTTCACAGGGACACTCGCAGACAGCCGATTCAAAACACACAAGGTACTCCCACCGTGCCCACGAATCCTTGCTGGGCCGGCGAGAAACGGACTGCTGTGCCAGTGCACGTCGGCAAATAGTGGTAACCTACGTACAACAGCCGGACGTGGGTTGTACACTCTGGACTGGACAGGTGATGCAGCAGCAGAGTCAGTACAAGGTCATGATGCCATGATCGAGATCATTTGGATAGACTGTGGGTATATCTCGAATGGGTAGTCTTTCTGCGTGTGTTTTTATTATTCCTTAATAGAGTATGACAGCACTCGAGCACACTTGTTTAACATTACGTGCCGGTTCAACGGCAAGACGCGACATCATCAACACAACGCAAGTTCAACATTCTCTCTCTCGTCCTTCAACCTTCAAACAAAAAAGTCGAAACTACAGCCGTACAAACACGACCAAACCCGCAATACCAGCCCAACGCAGCGTGTGCAAGCCTAGCTAGAGTTTTACGCACAATATGGTGGCTGCCATTGCGTACCTGATGATTGCAACTCCGTTGTCCAGTTTCTCCACCGGCTGGAAAAACCTGGGCGATTTGTCGGAGGTGCTTTCCACCGAGGCCGGATCCTCCATCGGCATCGCGGACGCGAGCCCTCGTGAAGGCGTGGAGGCTCCCGCCAGACGCGCACACAGCACGGGAGCGGCAGGCCTTGCGTGCAGCCGTGCTATCTGCGTCAGCCTCGCATTGCCACTGCCGGTACGGCTTGACGCCAGGGCGGAGCGTCTGCTGAGGGCCAAACTCGTTGAAGTTCCGCCAGTGCGAATTGCACGGCGGAATGACATGCTGCTGCTGCTGCTGCTGCTGCTGCTACCTGCTGTTGCTTCGCTATGTGCTTGCTTTGCCGGTATTGCTCGGACTCTGTGCAGGGTAAACACACGGGCACGGTGTTTATAGGGGTTGTTGGAGGCGGGGGACAATGTGAGGGTGGGACTGCTGGGTGGAACAAACACAAGACAAACAAGGTGGCGGAGAGATTGAGCAACGCTCTCCCACAAGGAGCAAAGCACTGAGGAGAGGCCTCCTTGCCTGGAAAACCCCATCGGTTACAGTTTGTTCCAATTGCGCCGCACTTTACTCGGCATCTCCGCATCTCCTCATCTCCTCCATATCATGCCCATGTTGCGATACGCACAGCAGTGCTGTGAGGTACATAATGGAGGCAGATTTCTGCGCGTAGTGTTACAGAGATCAGAAACGAACAGGGACTGTGGGATACGGACCAGACGACCAGACACGCCGATAATATCAGCGCAACAACGTCCGGAGGACATGCGACACAAATCAATCCCGATCGCGGTTCTTTGTCTGATTGGCTGGCGGCGAGCAGACAACAGCAGCAGCATCCCCACCGCTAGCAAAAAACCAACAAATTAACTGCCGTGCTCTGTTTCGGAAATGATGGAGCGTTCCTGCCGCAATGGCAGCAATGTTGAGGAGAGTGACGACGAGGATGCGAAACACGTAGCATTCCTGAGAGCAAGGGTTGTCGAAGCGGCTCGCGAGGGAGATACGCCAGAGATGAAGTACCTGATGGGCATCACGGCAGCCAAAAGGCTCCTGGCTGCCACTGATGAGGTGACTAAATTACTTCTCTAGCAAACAGTCCCAGAAGAGAAATACTTGTACATGCTGATGAAACGTACATATACGCTTGTGCTTTCCCCTGAACTTTGAAGAAAACGTTGCCCACATACCAAATCGTGTGTTTGCAGCACTACGTATGTAGTCTACAGCCTGTCGACTCTCCACTGGTGGCCAGAGGGGCAGGTTGGGCACCATCCACAACCTGGGGCGGGGGAGGTTGGGAGGCCGATTTCGACCTTGAACCCATTTTTCTTCAGGCTTGCAGCCCACCGTGTTGATTGGAATAACGCCACTATCCGAGATGTGGGATAACTTGCACGCTTTGGGCTGCAACCTCCGTGCAACCTCCCCCCCCCAGCTTGTAGTCGGTGCCCCAACCTACATCTTCTCGAAGCGCAGACTTGATCCAGTTTAACCCTTTCACCCCCAACAGTGAGGCCAACGGACTCAAGCATTGATGCAGATGTATGCAACGTATATAATATACATAGACTACATACGTCAAAGAAGAATATAATGTCGACCTCTTGTATGCCGGAAAATGTGGTCGCTTGTGTCTGTCCGCAAACCGCAACAACACGGTCAGAGCTCGCGGTGGGGCTTGTTACACTTCAGCTGCAGCCGGGGCTTTTTGGATATCACGACTATGTTGCTGGAAGCGGGAACTAAAGCTCTGAAAGCGGTCGACAAGGTGAGCTTATAAAGTTGGGGTTCAAGAACATGCGACTACCGTGGGCGTTTACCCAAAAGGCAGAGATCCGTACTCCAAATGTCGTGCTAAATAATAGGGGAATGCTTCGGTACGACCCCAGACCGGAGAACTCTCCAGCTTTTTCAGGAGCGAAGGCCGTAGGCTAGCCAGAAGCTGAGAGCGACGGTGATAACTTGTTGGTCGCCTAGAGCACCATGCAATTGTATATCTATCTCCAGATTTTCTGTCCGTGAACTTTTGTATCGCTCACGTGAATTCTGTCGGCAAAAGTTTGATGGTGCAAGTATGGAGAACACAAATAAGTACTCCGGAGAACAGAAGGTACAAGAATCACAGCTCAGTGGAAATTTAGAGGGTCTATGGTGTTGGCGACGCAGACGGCACACAACATGTACACTCTACCGAAACTACTGGTAATTGTCGAACCGAGGCCCCTCTTGCTCGTGATACCTTGAAACATTGCTAGCACGGCAAGACCTGCCTCCATGTCGCTATAGAGCACGACTGCAGGGACGTCATAGAGCTCCTGCTGGACTGGTGAGGAAAACTCTCTTTTTTTTTCGCTTATGTTGCGAAGAGAATCTCCGAATTGAATGAGCTACGTGATGTAATTCGAGCTCAACGAATGACCACGCAGAATGCGGTGGCATGGGCAAGTGAGAGGGGCAAAGCCCTGGTAACTCGAAGATAACACATACCACCCGCAGATACTTCGATAATTCGCGATATTATCTAGATTATACTCAAGACCGCCTTGGAGGCATTGCTACACGAGACGCTATTCCCGAGACAGGTTAACACTCTGCCAGCCATGTTCATGTGCTGGACAATGTATGGGAAAAGAAATTCACCCACAAGGCAGTAGTTCAGCCCAGACACTTGATTTGGCGCGTCGAGCTGTTGCAGGCACCCGGTTTGTGACTGGCCAAGACGAGCAAAGCTCGCGCTAGGCCAGACGGCCGCGCGAGCAGGAGGTCACGCCGCCATGCAGCTGCTCCTGCGAAACGGTCTTGACCCAAACGAGAAAGGGATAAGGAGAGAAACACCCCTGCACCAAGCGGCTAGGTGGGACTGCCACAGAACACAAGCTGCAGTTGTTTGACGCAAGTGTATACGCATTCTCGGCTAATGCACCACAGAACTACGCCCGTGGTCCGCGTATCGATTGGAGAGACGAAAGGACATGAGAGTGTGTTCCATTTTTCAACCCATTTTTGAGGGCAAATACGTTGCTGGTAGCGTGTTTGTGAATTATCGTCATGGCCGACACCCCTCCGTCTTCGATCGAGTACACGTGTTGGTCACTGATAGTTTGTCTTTAACCAGTGCTTACATTGCTGTGTCAGGCACGGTCACGCAGAAGTCATCGAGCTTCTACTGCGGCATGGGGCGGATGTGACTGCTAGAGAGGCATGGGCTGGTCGAACCCCTCTCCACTACGCCTGTCAAGCAGGCTCCCTCAAGGTGCGTCCGCATCCAATGACACTGCTGCGCACCCCACCCACGTGTTTGCCACTAAACCGGGCATATATTGGTACAGGACAAGATTGTACAGCGCGTAGGGGACGAGGAACAGGAAAAATACCTCCCAAAAGTGCTCGCGTCACTGGAAGTTCAGCTATGCGCCAACCAAGGAAATGTTGGTCATATCTAGAGGTGCGAACCTCTATAGTGTCCACTATACGGTCCATTCGTCAATGTTGTGTGAGTTTTGCTCCTCGTCCTCGAACGTATCTTGTATTCAGTAAATACATTGCGCACGATAGTTTCCAACACCGACTATGGGCGGTTTCAAGAATCCCTAGAAATGCTCAGACTGTGTTATAGCACGCAACAGGAGAGCGGCACGGGTTCCCGTCCTGAACGCCCGACACATCACTCCATAACACGGTTTTGACAGGCAGCGACCGCCCTGATCATCAAGGGCGGAGCAGATCCTCACGTGCCCGACCTTTCTGCTGCGAGACACACTCCTCTCGAAGCTGCAGTGGTGTCCGGGTACCGGGCACTTTCGCACCGCCTTGTTATCTTGGTGGACAGCCGCCAGAGAGCCGACGAGAAAAGACAAGCCATCCTCGAGGGCTTCGATATGGCCTCGCGCGAGGTACAGCCGGCTGAATGAATACCCCCGACGTAACCCCACAGAATAAACTGTACTAGCCCCGCAGATTGTTTTGTCGTTGTTCATCTTCTTGGCAAGACGCGGGGTTCCGCCGAGACAACTTCGTCGTGCTCTTCCCTTTGACATCAGATGCCAACATTGTGCTTCCGACTGACTCGTGTGCGCGTTGCTCGTACCCCGTTGACCAAGTAACTTGATATGCACAAATGCGACAGGACTTTAATTATTTGGCATTCAGTTGTGTCATAGACCCTTCCAGCTCCCCATGCCTCATTTCGTGTTCTTCCCTCAAACCTTGAACAGGCAGTTCGCCGAGAAACGAAGCTGGTAAAAAATGCGGTTTCGTCTCTTAGAGGCAGAGTCGTGGGTAAACGCTCGCTGGTAAGGTGAGAAGCCTCCGGTGTGTGCAACAAAACAAGGACGCACCTACCGGGTGAAATTCTCGAGAGAGTTCGTTCACTGTTGCGTTTCTCATTGCCAGCATGCACTTGATGCTCTGAAGCTTCAGTTAATAATTGGAACGTAGTCACCTCTCGACAGACGTGGGCTTTAATTCTTCCGTTGTTGCTCTCGGTATGCATAGATGATGCCCATGGACAGCCCTCGCTCTTCGCTTGAGTTTCTTCCTCGGTTCCCTCCAACCTGCACTGTCTTCGGTCACCCCTACCGTTTGTAGGTTGGAAAAACAACAGCTGACCGAAACTCTGAGGGGCCACCTATCCCGAGCCAAGACGCGCCTGCGCAACCTTCAATCTCAGCACGAGCGGCTCCATGCCAGGGAAGAGAAATGCAGTCCCGTTACCGCCGTGATTCCGGCTGCTTCTGTGCCAGACTGTCGTCCGAGCACGTGCCCAACGTTGTCTGCCACGGGTGGGCTCCGTGGGGGTAGTCGTATGGCACGCAGGCCTCTATTACCACCCGGGTCTGCTGGTGGAACCTTGAGCAGGCATGGCGTCCTTGGGAACCAAAGCGGGGTTCCCGGTATTATAAAGAGCCCGCCTGGCGAACGTTCCGTGCGCTTGGCCTGGGGAACAGGTCGTGGATAGGGGGCGGTGCGTTCATGGAAACAAGGTGTTTGTCTCGAGTGTGCGGAGGAAAAAAATGTACGTATTTGATGAGGCAATGATCTGCACTCCCAGTGTAGGGAACAGTTGATCTCCCAAGGCCGGGTACGGATCTGGTGGGCCGACCAGTCACAAGTCGTTGGAAACAATATTGCTTACTCAGGCCTCACCATGACGTTGACACTGGGGTGGATCGTAGAGGACACTTTGCCCGCCTCGTCGGCAGAAGATGAACTTCATCCGGGACGGAGCGCAAAGCTTTGGTATTTCGAAGTACGACGTAGTTGGCGAAAACTTGACATTCGGCTGAAGAAACCTGACTGAAGCGTGGTCTTCAGTTGATAATGAGCGGATCGCGATGGTGTGGCGACAGTTTGGATACTGGAGGGCACGAACTTCTACATGCTACAACGGACGGTTTGTCTCGATGTAATCCCTTCCAAGAGTCTACGTTTTTGTGTAGCGTCAGGCAGCTGCATCAGAGAGCCAGATGTAGACATCGTGTGCAACAATTGGGTTGCCTCTGAGTGTGCCTCGAATGGACAACTCTCTGTTGTTAACAATGTGGTCGGCGAGGCCTTTCAATGCCCTTCGGTTATCCGAGCCAAGCTGCGATACCAATACTTTATATCAACACACATACATCCCTGTGAGGAGCAGTCTATCTCGAACGTTTCTTCCTTGAACAACGTTGTAGAGATAATTTATGTCCAAGGAAGGGGCGGGGAGTCGGAGTAGATGCGCGGAAACGTTTCGTTGGGCAAACACAGAGTAAGACAGCGCGATCCCAGAACAATGAAAAATGGATCCTCTACACGAAAAAAGAAAAAACACTCCACCTCCTGTTGTTCATTTTCCTCTTGTCTGTCATGTCTTTTATGCTCGTCTCTTCTCAATCCGAACGTTAGAGTATACATGGCACATGTTTGAGAGAAGATAGTGTAAGGGACACGCCATACCGAGTGACCAAACGTAAACGAAACGCTCGCTCGGGTTAATAGCTTACGAGATCAACAGCTCGGGCTGGCAGGACGAGCCGTCGCCGGCGGTATCGGCGACAACAAGACAGAGGCTGAAGCTCGCTTCATGATATGACTGCTGGGCCTTCGAACGAAAGAAATAAAACCGTGTTGCTCAGACGTCCCACCAATCAGAAAGTGCGCGTTGTGGGAGCCGAAAAGGCAAGATACTTCCACACACCATCACACCATCGGCTGAAGTCACGAGAAATTATTGTGCACACAATACGTGGATGATATCAAGGACTGCCGAAGCAATCCGCCGACAACTTTAGACAACAATCTAAGTACCACTTGTAGTGGTACATTCGTCGTCGACTCAGCGAGATTTATAAATATTCACGCACTTTTGTGCAGAAATACTGGGAAACAACATGCATACGTGAGAAACAGGGCAGACAAGCGCTACCATGTCAAATCGTCCGTGCGTGAAGTCCGTCTGTTTGCCCAACCGTTGTTCACCAACAACCACACACCCAAAACACCGCGAGGCGAAAAGCGACGATGGCCATACCCGCAAGGTCGCCAACACTAGCGACCGCCTGAAGATCGGGAGTTTTCAAAGGTGGTCTGACAAAGTAAGGCGAGCCATACTTGGCGCGGTCGACCCTCGTCCACGGCATACCAAAGTCGAGCCTACCGACGAGGACAAGACCTCCGCCTCAACGAACGACGGATCCAATCCCGACCATACCAGGATCGTGCGCAAAGCAGTGCCTGGTCAAGGTCACGACTCCAGGAAGAAGGCCGCAGCTCTGACGAGCCCTTTTCGTTCTCTCCGTGGTGGCCAAGTTCTTCGTGGTTGACCCCGCTGCTCTTGGTCGCATTATTGCCCGCAGTTGCACCGCTATCGTGGTGGGAGGAGTGAAGGGCCAGGCCCCATATGGTTCAGCTAGGGACACCATCGCGTAGCCCGTCCCTGATGATCGGTGTGCTTGTTGAGCCTAGGCCACGGGGCATCGCCGGTTTGGATCATTGCTCGACGGCCTCAAAATCAGTATTGCTGTGCTGGCACTTCTCGCTGCCGTGGCTCTTGGGAGGGTTTCTCCCAATTAGGTAGGTCCTCAGGACCCGTTGTCTAAATCGTCATTGGCAGAAACCTTCTCAAGAGCCACAGCAGCGAGAATGTCAGCCCAGCAAGGCTGATTCTGAGGCCGTCCGCGAAGAACCCAAGCCGGCGGTGTCCCATGTTTCAGTTTCGTACAACACGTTATCTGCTCACGACTCCGCTACTACAGGCTCCTCCGGTAATATAATAGCACGAGCGAACCCTCGAGTGATTGCGGACTCTTTCGGTAAGTACTTAACGAAATAATTACCGTTAGAGTCCGCAATCACTCGAGGGTTCGCTCGTGCTAGTACCGGAGGAGCCTGCCCCAGCGGCGTCGCTACCGGAG